ATATTTCAGCCTTTTACATTATACTTGTAATCATTAAATTCTGTCATAAAGATATAAACCCTTAAATAGCTTGATTATGTATGAATTTAATTTAAAAATATTATTTTGATTTTTCTATGGAAATTATATACTATTATATTCACATTTTAAATATAAGCCTTATTATGTCAATTATCATACATACCTCAGTAAATGTGGGGGGAAAGGAAGGGAAAAAAACGACATACAGCCAAACCACACCTAAGTCCCATCCTGACTTGTCTCCTCCCGGCCACCAAGAAGGAGACGTATGGCCATCACCTTCCCTTGGACTCACCCTATGGGAAGGAGCTGATCTCCATTCACATGGCAGCTACAACCTCTCAATACTATAAGTCAAGCTCACCCTTCCCACTTGAGTTCACTCTCTTCAAACATTCTTTTTTAAATTTATTATTTTTATTTTATGTGTATGAGTGTTATGCCTGCATGCAGGTAAGTACACTTGGGTCGTGCAATGCCCACGGAGAACAGAAGAGGCTGTCAAATCCCCTGGAACTGGAATTAGACAGTTGTTAGCTGCCATGTGGGTGCTGGGATTCGAACCCAGGTCTTCTGCAAGAATAGTCAGTGTTCTTAACCATTGAGCCATCTCTCCAGCCCCCAAGACACCATTTTCTAAGACAACAAAAATTATTTGGAAAACTCCACCACTTGGGGGAGGGTGGATTATTATTATCATGATCATGTAGTGAATTGTCATTATGTGAAAATATTGTAATTATTTAGTGGTTTTTGTGCCAGTCTTTAATATAATAGTTATGCTTTACATTAGATCTTTTCGTTGGGCATAATAGATCATTGAAGTTCTTCTTATTATTATTATACTAGTTAGATAATACAACTGTTAAGCTTAAGATAAATGGTCTAGTATTCTATATACCTCCTAGTTACATGTACAGAAAATAATGAAGGTAAGATAACAATTAAAACCAGTGCTCACTGAAAACCAGTAGCTCATACACATATGACACATGACTACATATACCTGAGAAAAAATGTGCTTTGAAGCCCTTCTTGGATACAGTGTTGTCAGATTTGAATTCAATTCTCATGTTGTTGAACTGGGAAGTGATCACCTCAGGAACTTCAGCTCCACAGAATTTGCCATGCAATTTAGACTCAGAGGCAAGACCACTCCAGATCTCCACATAATCATATTTGCAAACCTGGAAAAAGTAGGTTGCTGTGATCATCAGATAGAGAGAACCAGATGATGGACATTTATGCTAGAAAAATATGTCATGCTTTTATCTCTTACTTCCATTTTAGTTCAACTGAAATGAACAGATAAAGAAAAATTACAACGAGGAATCAACTATGAGGCAGAAGGCATGAGCTTTAAGGACTTTTTCCTGAACTTGCACATAAAATATAAATTTATCTGTACATAGTCACACTGTGTATTCCTTACAAACTTTTTTTTTAAAAAAAAAAAGGAGAATTGAGATGATCCTTTGTT